TTAGATTGAAGATTCAGTTTAGTTTGATAGAGCTACATTTGAGTGTACTCACAATTTTAGGAACAATGAATTATCTTGAAATTTATCCTTTGGATTATAAAGTCCATATGTGTGGAGACTATATATATCTAATCTAGTTCATTGCTATGTTCACAGCTTCTGGAACATAGGAGGTGTTCAGTACATATTTGCCTATGTCTGTGTGGAGTGATGATAGATAGTAGGAATGTAGAAATAGGCCAGTATTGCATTCAGTTCAGACCTTATGATTGTATTCTTTTAGCAACCTCATGTAGCAACTGCCTTTATAAAAATTTCATTCTTCTTACATTTCTGTAGTTGAGAACAGCAAGATACAAGGAGGCAGCCCTCTGTAATAGATGTGAAATGGTCATTATATGTTTGTTGGTGGTAGAGCTATCTGTGAACTATCATTATCCATAAATAGCTTCCTCATGCGGTCTGGTCAACTCAACTCATCTCAATATAGAGCTCCTCCAGTGAAGGGATGTAGAAAAGTCTCCATAACTCCATTTGAAGGTGATTAGAGTGTAATCACCTGATACAATGAAGCACATTGGTTCTTGGGCTCCGTTGATCATGTACTCAAATCACTAAGGACTAGATTTGAGAAGCTTAGTGTTTGACCTTAAAGTTTCCCTAGAGGGAATCAATTACTCCTTTTGCTGGGTTTCCATTACAATTTGCTTTTTACCGCATTCTGATGAGTATTATAGTTAGGTGTTTCTGTGTGTCATTCTCTCTGGATTTGTTCTTTTGAGTGCACCTTATCTTTGTACCTTTTCATACTATAGTGCAGTGCTTTGTATAGCACAAGTTTACACTGTTAATCCTTGTGTTAAGTAGAATTATAAGTTTTGCTAAGTTATAGTTCAAACTGTAGCTACTTTTATAATTCACATAAAATCCTTTTCAAACAAGATGGTTATTTAGCTACTTTGAAAAAAAGTGTGGATTATAGCAAATCCACCCCCATCTAGTAATTTCAGAAGTCTGATATTTATTTATTTTAAAACAGCTTTATTGATATATAATTCACATGCCAGGCAGTTTACCCACATTGTATAATTCAGTGATTTTTTAGTATCTTCACAAAGTTGTACAACCATCATGATAGTCAATTTTGGAATATTTTCATTACCCTGAAAGAAATCCTTCATATAGCAGTCACTCCCTATTTCCCCCTTTACTCCCCAGCCCTAGCCAACCATTGATCTACTTTCCATCTCTATAGATTTGCCTGTGGACAATGGGATTGTAAAATATTTGGCCTTTCATGACAGGCTTCTTTGACTCAGCAAAATGTTTTCAGATTCGTCCATGTTGTAATATATCAGTACCTCATTCCTTTCTATTGCCGAATAATCTGTTGTATGGACATATACCTCATTTTATTTATCTGTTCATCTGTTGATAGATATTTGGGTTGTTTTCCATTTTTGGGCCATTATAAATAACGCTACTATGAACATTCCTGTGCAAGTTCTTGTGTAGATATACGTTTCTTTTTTCTTGGGTATATGTAAGAGTGAAATTGCTGGGCAACTCTGCATTTAGCCTTTTAAGGAAGCCAGACTGTTTTCCAAGCAGCTGCATCATTTTACATTCCCACCAGCAGTCTATGAGTATTCCAATTTCTCCACATCCTCACCAACACTTGTTATTATCTGTCTTTTTGATTATAGTCATCCTAGTGGGTGTGAAGTGGTATTTCACTGTGGTTTGATTTGCATTTCTCTGTTGGCTGATTATGTTCAGTATCTTTTCATGTGCTTATTGGCTATTTGTTTGTCTTTTGGTGAAATATATATTCAGATCCTTTGCCCATATTTAATTGGGTCGTTTGTCTTTTATTGAATTAAAAGAGGTCTTTTATGTATTCTAGATACACGTACAAAAATATATTTACAGATACAATTACAAATATTTACAAAAATATATTTTATCAGTTCTACTTACAAAAACATTCTCCCATCCTGTAGGTTGTCTCTTCACTTTCTTGATGATGTCCTTTGGAGTACAGAAGTTTTTAATTTTGATGCAGTTGATCTATTTTTTTCTTGTTTGTTATTTTCAGTGTCATATTTAAGAAACCATTACCTAATATAAAGTCACAAATATTTAAGCCTATTTTTTCTTGTAAGAATTTTATGGTTTTAGGTCTTAACATTTAGGTCTTTGATCCATTTTTAGTTAATTTTGGTGTGAGGCAGGCATCCAACTTCATTCTTTTTGCATGTGGATATCCACTTGTTCCAGAACAATTTGTTAAAAAGACTATTCTTTCCCTCATTGAATTATCTTGACACCCATGTTGAAAATCAGTCGACTAAGGGACTTTATTTATTTATTTATTTATTTATTTATTTATTGAGACGGAGTCTCGCTCTGTCACTGGGGCTGGAGTGCAGTGGCCGGATCTCAGCTCACTGCAAGCTCCGCCTCCCAGGTTCACGCCATTCTCCTGCCTCAACCTCCCGAGCAGCTGGGACTACAGGCGCCCACCTCCTCGCCCGGCTATTTTTTTGTATTTTGTAGTAGAGACGGGGTTTCACCGTGTTAGCCAGGATGAACTCGATCTCCTGACCTCGTGATCCGCCCGTCTCAGCCTCCCAAAGTGCTGGGATTACAGGCTTGAGCCACCGCGCCCGGCTATTTATTTATTTTTGAGACAGAGTCTCACTCTGTCTCCCAGGCTGGAGTGCAGTGGTGCAATCTCGGCTCACTGCAACCTCTGCCTCTGGGGTTCTAGCAATTCTCCTGCTTCAGCCTCCCGAGTAGCTGGGATTACAGGTGTACACCACCATGCCCAGCTAATATTTGTATTTTTAGTAGAGATGGGGTTTCATCATGTTGGCCAGACTGGTCTCGAACTCCTGACCTAAATTGATCTGCCTGCCTCCGCCTCTCAAAGTGCTTGGATTACAGGTGTGAGCCACCACACCCGGCCAACTAAGGGACTTCTGTTTGGGGGAAAATATTCACATTGTTCTCCTTCCCCCCAAGATTGCTTACAATTTTTTGATTAAATTAAGAAAAAAGAAACAATCTCAAAAAAGTTACAAGTACAGTTCAAAGAACGTAATTTTTTTGAATCATTTGAGAGTAAGTTGTCAGCATGATGCCATATGATGACAATGTTTGTGTGTATTTCCCACAAACAAGAACATTTTCCTACAGAAGCACAATATAACCATCAAAATCAGAAAACTAACATTGCTGTTTTACTACTATGGTCATACTCAGATCCCATTCAAGTTTTGCCCATTGTCCCAGTGTTGTCCTTAATAGCAAAAAAGATCCAGTCCAGAATTACACATTGCATTTAATTGTCAGGATCTTTAGTCTTCTTCTTCAATCGGAAACATTTCCTCAGTCTTTCCTTGACCCTCAGGACCTGTACATTGTTGAAGATTACAGGTCAGTTATTTTGTAGAATGCCCCTCAGTCATGGTTTGTCTGATGTTTCTTTATGATTAGATTCAGTTTATGCGTATTTGGCAGCGATGTCACAGAAGTAGTGTTATATCCTTCTTAGTGCATTGTATTGGGGCCCACAGTTTCCCCATTATTTCTTATATTAACCTTGATTCTTGATTAAGATGGTATTTGCCAGGCTTTTTCACTATTACTGTTTTTCCTTTTGCAATTAGGATTTTGTGGGACAGTATATTGAGATAATAGTAATCTTGGTCCTCATCGATCTTTGTTTCTTTTATTTATTTATTTATATCTGCATGGACACATATATTCCTATTTTGTTTAATGAGTTATATTTCTTTACTATTATTATTTGTATTGATAGGCCAGCTGTTCCAGATTTGGTCAGTGAGAGCCCCTTCAGGCTCACCATTTTGTTCTTTTAACATAGCCTCTCCCATTCTTTGAGCACTTCCTTCCTTTTTGGCACAAGACGATGTTCAGGCTCGTTTGGTACTTGCTCTATTCTGTCCCTGGAATCAGCCATTTCTTCAAAGAGCCCTGGTTCCTTTTAGTAGACAATGGTATTAGAAAGCAAGGTCAAGGTGCTCAGTGTACATATTGGGGTGTTGTTGCCCCCAGGACCTCTCAGGGCAGCAGTCCCCAACCTTTTTGGCACCAGGGACCGGTTTCATTGCTGGGGTGGGGTCGGGGTGGGGGTATTGGTTTCAGGATGAAACTGTACCACCTCAGATCATCAGGCATTAGTTCGATTTTCAAAAGGAGCACACAACCTCGATTCTCACGTGCAGTTCACAGTAGGATTTGTGCTTCTATGAGAATCTAATGCTGAAGCTCAGGCAGTAATGCTCGCTCGCCCACTGCTCACTTCCTGCTGTGTGGCCCTTTTCCTGATAGGCCATGGACCAGTGCCAGTCCGCGGCCCAGGGGTTAGGGAATCTCTGTCTCAGGGAACAGAGCTAGGGAATGTATGTATGCTGTGTGTACAGACATTTACATATTTATGTTTATATACATTGAAATTCATGAGTTGATATCAGTAGCTGTAATTCCAGTCCAAAATAAGAGGCTTCGTTCTATTACAGTTGAGCAAATTATTAATAACATACCCATCATTTCATAGTTACCCTTTTTTGTTTTTGGTAGTAAGAATACCTAAAATTTACTCACTTTGCAGATTACCAGTATATAATACAATATTATTAACTATAATTCTCATGTTGTACGTTGGTCACTTAGTGGCTTTTGGACAGAGTTGTTTGGAAAGGGGTTGCATGTTGTCTTTTGAGAGATGATGAAATTGTACAGACTTAGAAGTCGGTGTTTCATAAGAAGGAAAAAACCAAGTATCTTGACATTTTCACTTTTTAGGCAATCAAAAGGATTCCTTCTGTTGCTAACATTTAACATGAAATAATACTCAATTTGATTGATAATTATTAGAATCTTAACATACCTTGGTTAGTGAGCTGCTTCAGAGGAAATTAGAAAACAAAAAATAATTTACATCTACAGAGTAATATTCATTTCTCTTCTAGCTCTTCCACCAAAGCCACCTAAGCCAATGACTTCAGCAGTTACAAATGGAATGAAGGACAGTTCTGTTTCTCTTCAGGATGCAGAATGGTACTGGGGGGATATTTCAAGGTAACTAGAATGCTACTGTAATTGAATGCAGTTTTTTAAAAAGTCATTTTTGAGAATTAGTAGGTAAAGTAAACCATTTTAAGCCAGGCATGGTGGCTCACGCCTATAATCCCAGCAACTCAGGAGGCTGAGGCTGAAGAAGCACGTGATACCAGGAGTTCAAGGCTATAAAGAGCACTCTGTTGCACTCTAGCCTGGGCAACAGAGTAAGACCCCCAAATCTTTTTTTTTTTTTTTTTTTTTGAGACGGAGTCTCGCTCTGTCGCCCAGGCTGGAGTGCAGTGGCGCGATCTCTGCTCATTGCAAGCTCGGCTGCCTCCTGGGTTCATGCCATTCTCCTGCCTCAGCCTCCCTGGAAGCTGGGACTCCAGGTGCCTGCCACCACGCCCGGCTAATTTTTTTGTATTTTTAGTAGAGACGGGGTTTCACCGTGTTCGCCAGGATGGTCTCGATCTCCTGACCTCGTGATCCGCCCACCTTGGTCTCCCAAAGTGCTGGGATTACAGGCGTGAGCCGTCGCGCCCGGCCCCTACCCCCCAAATCTTAAAAAAAAAAAAAAGCATTGTAGTGCCCTACTAATTTTTATTTAAAGATTACCATTTTAGGCCAGGCACGGTGGCTCACACCTATAATCCTAGCACTTTGGGAGGCTGAGGCGGGTGGATTGCCTGAGCTCAGGAGTTTGAGACCAGCTTGGGCAACATGGTGAAACCCTGTCTCTACTAAAATACAAAAAATTAGCCTAGCATGTTGGCATGCGCCTGTAATCCCAGCTACTTGGGAGGTTGAGGCAGGAGAATTGCTAGAACCCGGGAGGTGGAGGTTGCAGTGAGCTGAGATAGTACCACTGCACTCCAGCCTGGGCGACAGAGTGAGACACTATTTCGAAAAAAACAGAAAAAATGCTCATGTAAAAAATTTTGTGTGGGAACATTTCATAAATGTCTTAATACTTTTCTTCCCATGAAAAAATGACAAGAAAATCTTCATTATTTATTTATTTTGAGACAGAGTCTCACTCTGTTGCCCAGGCTGGAGTGCAGTGGCATGATCCCAGCTTACTGCAACTTCCGCCTGCTGGGTTCAAGCGATTCTCCTGCCTCAGCCTCCCAAGTAGCTGGGATTACAGTCATGTGTCACTATGCCCTGCTAATTTTTGTATTTTTAGTAGAGACAGGGATTCACCATGTTGGCCAGGCTGTTCTCAAACTCCTGACCTATGGTGATCCACCTGCCTTGGCCTCACAAAGTGCTGGGATTACAGGTGTCAGCCACTGTGCCTGGCTGAAAATCTTTAAATTATGAGTGTGATTATTACTTCTAATACTATATTGAGGATGGATTTCTAAATAAGTGACACTTAGACATTTAGGATAGTTATATGTGTTTTAGAATTAAAAATATTTGTGGGTACTTACATTTCTGTACCTTCCTTTCTCTAAGCCAGTGATTCCAAAGTCTTTGCATGCACAAAAATCAATTGAGGTGGAACCCAGGAATCTGCATTTAACAGCTTCCCTGGGTGAATTTGATGCAGTCTCTTTACACACCCCAATTTGATAAACAGGACTCTAGGACAGATTTGTTTTCTGGGTAAAGTGTGGTTTTAGATCATTTTGAACCCAAAGAGGGAATTATATACATTTAATTTGAATATTGTATTTTCTTATTAAATTTTTTTCTTGTTAAACTTTGCTTTAATGGGTCTCAGATGTATTTTCTTTTTAAAGTCCTATCCATTTCTGTCAAATCAGTTTCCAGGTTGATGCTGTATTCCTCAACACACTTATCTATCCCTTTCTCTTCTCTGTTCTCTTCCTCTACCAAAATGGTATTTATTTAATTTTTTTTTACTCTTACAGTTTCAACTGTTTTAAGAATATATTTGCATTGTTGTGCAGCCATCATCACCATCCATCTCCAGAACTTTTTTATTTTCCCTAACTGAAATTCTGTACCCATTAAACAATAACCTTCCATTCTCCCCTCCTCCAGCTCATGGCAACCACCATTCTGCTTTCTGTCTTACGAATTCAATTCTAGGTACTTTGCATAAGTGTAATCGTATAATAATTGTCCTTTTGTGACTGGCTTATTTCACTTTCTTCATACATCTTCAAGGTTCATTCATGTTGTAGCATGTGTCAGAATTTCATTCCTTCTTTTTTCTTTTTTTTTTTTTGAGACGGAGTCTCGCTCTGTTGCCCGGGCTGGAGTGCAGTGTGGTGTGATCTCAGCTCACTGCAAGCTCCGCTTCCCGGGTTTACGCCATTCTCCTGCCTCAGCCTCCTGCGTAGCTGGGACTATAGGCGCCCAGCTAGTTTTTTGTATTTTTTAGTAGAGACGGGGTTTCACCGTGTTAGCCAGGATGGTCTTGATCTCCTGACCTTGTGATCCGCCCGTCTCGGCCTCCCAAAGTGCTGGGATTACAGGCTTGAGCCACCGCGTCCGGCCTCATTCCTTCTTAAGGCTAATATCTTATTATATGTGTATGCTGTATATTGTTTTAATCCATTCTGTCCATTTAATCCAATCTGGACATTTGGATTGTTTCTAACTTATGGCTGTTGTAAATAATGCTGCAGTTAATATTGGTGCACACATATCTGAGTCCTTGCTTTCAGTTATTTTGGGTATATACCCAGTAGTGGAATGGAATTGCCAGGTCATATGGTAGGTAATTCTGTGTTTAATTTTTTGAAGAGGACTTAATACATTTCATTTAAAAAAAAATTTTTTTTTTTTTTTGAGATGGAGTCTCATTCAGTCTCCCAGGCTGGAGTGCAGTGGTGCAATCTCAGCCCACTGCAACCTCTGCCTCCCGGGTTCAAGTGATTCTCCTGTCTCAGCCTCCCAAGTAGCTGGGATTATAGGCGCTTGCTCGGCCACCACGTCTGGCTAATTTTGTATTTTTAGTAGAGACAGGGTTTCATCATGTTGGCCAGGTTGATCTCGAACTCATGACCTCAAGTGACCTCTCTGCTTCAGCCTCCTAAAATGCTGGGATTATAGGCGTGAGCCACTGCACCCAGCCATTTTATTTTAAAATTGATTAGAATATTTCTATTTTAATATTGTACAATAAAATAGTCTATTATTTTTTATTTTAAGATCACATGGTTCTAATATGATTCAAGGGTCTTTTATGCCCTGCCATTTCCTTTAAGTGTTCTAGTGTTCTGCCTTAAATTCCTATACAGAAGGAATTTGTTATCGGGACAAATTTAAACTGGGAGAAAATCCTATTGAAAGGTTATGAACTTAGTGAATTTTCCCCCTTCTGTTCAGAAACAGCTGCCACTGTTGCTTAAATATAACCTTCTAAACAGCCGCTGTTTTTTTCCTGAAACTTTACAAGTTCAGACCTGCCTAAGGAAGCCCTAGAGGCTTGATGGAAACAGTATCTGTTATACACATTTGAAATCTGGAAGAGTTTAAAAATCAAATAGCTCTTCTATAGATTGCTTACCACCAGAAATCAAAACAGAAAGAGCATATTTAATGCAGGGAAGAACTAAATGACCTCTAAAGGGCTCCATTATTTTATAACCTACTGCCGAAGCAGCCTTAGTAGTAACATGTAAAGACAACCAGTGTTGACATTTTTTCATTTTTGTTATAATTCTGTTCTTCAGGGAGGAGGTAAATGACAAATTGCGGGATATGCCAGATGGGACCTTCTTGGTCCGAGATGCCTCAACAAAAATGCAGGGAGATTATACTTTGACTTTGCGGTAAGTACTTTTCAGTCTTTTGGCTAGTGCTTTACTGATGTTATTTTTATTCTGGGTATACGGATATTTCTGTATTTAAATCTTTATACAATTTTTCATATTTTCATTTATGTACATAATTTCCAGTCTGGCTAATTCTTTTTTCTATACATTAAGTATTTAAACATTTTGTATAAAAATGGCAACTTAAAAAAATGTAGAAAGTAAATGAAAAGGCTAAAATCCCAAAACGTAAGGGAGTAAGAAGCATACAGTTGACCTTATAAAGTACGTAGATGTCATGGGCATATGGGCATATTTTTTTTTTTTTTTTTTTGAGACGGTGTCTCGCTCTGTCTCCCAAGCTAGAGTATAGAGGCATAATCTCCGCTCACTGCAAACTCCGCCTCCCGGGTTCACGCCATTCTCCTGCTTCAGCCTCCCCAGCAGCTGGGACTACAGGCGCATGCCGCCACGCCCGGCTGATTTTTTTGCATTTGTTTTAGTAGCGACAGGGTTTCACCGTGTTAGCCAGGATGGTCTTGATCTCCTGACCTTGTGGTCCGCCTGCCTGGGCCTCCCAAAGTGCTGGGATTACAGGCGTGAGCCACCGCATCCGGCCGTCATGGGCATATTCTAAGGGTAAAAATGAGTCTATTATTCGAATAACCCTTTTATCTTCCTTAGTGCAGACTTTAGAAAGCAGAACTCAACATAATTTTGGTTGATGAGGATATGTTGAAGATAAAGCAGTTCCCAGCCTGTATCATGCTTTCCATATGGGCATATTAGCGTCTTTTAAGTGATGGATATATGACTTTTTATATTTGCACATTTTTTTTTTTTTTGAGATGAGTCTCGCTTTGTTGCCCAGGCTGGAGTGCGGTGGCACAATCTCGGCTCACTGCAAGCTCCGCCTCCCGGGTTCATGCCATTCTCCTGCCTTAGCCTCCTGAGTAGCTGGGACTACAGGCGCCCGCCACTACGCCTGGCTAATTTTTTGTATTTTTAGTAGAGACAGGGTTTCACCGTGTTAGCCAGGATGGTCTCAATCTCCTGACCTCATGATCCACCCGCCTCGGCCTCCCAAAGTGCTGAGATTACAGGCGTGAGCCACCGTGCCCAGCCTATATTTGCACATATTTTTAAAAGGTTAAGAAAACTGCATGAGAAATTTCCACATTTAATTTTAATAATTAAAGTAGCCCAATTACAATAAAGCCTTATGATTTTTTAAAAAAGGAACTATTTAACAAAAAGAAAATAACAGTTAACAATAACATTTACTGACTTTCTTGTACTAAGCCCTTTACATGCATTATATCATTTATTCTTCACAACAACCTTATGAGGTAGGTATTATTACTATTCCCATTTTATAGATGAGGTAACTAAGGGTTAACATGGTTAAGGTACTTGCCTAAAGTCTCATAGTTAGAAAGTGGTAGAGGAAGAGTTTAAATCCAGATTCATCTGGCTGTTTGCTGCCTTTCCAGCCTAATATCTTTAGAAAAAATAATGCTATATTTTATGCAAATATGGCATAAATTTGGAGGCACTATTTTAGTTTCTGGTAAAGAGCTAAAGAAATTAATACCTTTGCACCTGAATTGTGCTGACTAATCAGTGTTATACAATAATTCATTGAACACAAATTTTCCTCTACTCCAGTCAGGCTTCCGTCTCCACCACTCCATGGAGACTCCTAAACCAGTGGCCACTTTTCTCTTCTTACCTTACTTGACCTCTTAGCAGCATTAGTCATAGACACTTCTTCTTAGAAGCAGTTTATTGTTTTGGCTGTTAAGACATCACACTTTCCTGATTTTCTTCCTAACTTTAAGCTGTTTTGCTCAATATCTAAATGTTAAGTGTTCCAGGGCTCAGACTTGGGCCTCCTTTTCTTCTCTGTATTCATTCTCTTAAGGTGAGCTTGTCTGTCCCATCGCCTTAATATATGTGATGATTAATTTTAGGTGTCAATTTGGCTGGATTAAGGAATACCTAGAGAACTGGTAAAGCATTATTTTGGATGTGTCTATGAAGATATTTCCTGAGCAGATTAGCATTTGAGTCAGTGGACTGAGTAAGGAAGATCGCCCCTCAATGTGAGTAAGCACCATCCAATTGGCTGAGGATAGAACAAAAAGAAAGAAAAAAGAATTTTACCTCTCTCTGTCTTGGAGCTAGAGCACACTCTTATTCTGTCCTTGGAAATCAGAATTCTAGCCTTTGGACTCCAGGATTTATACCAATACTCCCCACCCCCTATGGCCTTCAATCTTGGACTGAGAGTTAACACCATTGGTTTCCTGGGTTCTGAGGCGATAGGACTTGGACTGAGCCACACTACTGGCATCCCAGCTTGCAGATGGCCTGTAATGGGACTTCTCAGCCTCCATAATCATGTGAGCCAATTCCCCTGATAAATCCCCTCATACTTATCTTTCTCTCTCTCCTATTGGTTCTGTCTCTCTGGAGAACTCTGATTAACACAGATTTGGTACCAGGAATGATTCTAGTTTTTTTTTTGTTTTTTTTTTTGTTTTTGGAGACAGGTTCTTGCTCTGTCTCCCTGGCTGGAGTGCAGTAGCATGATCATGGCTCACTGCAGCCTTAACCTCCCAGGCCTAAGTGATCCTCCTACCTCAGCCTCATGAGTAGCTGGGACCAAAGGCGCATGCCACCACACCCAGCTAATTTTTGTGTTTTTTATTTTTTGTAGAATCGAGTCTCCCTGTGTTGCCCAGGCTGGTCTCAAAACTCCTGGGCTCAAGCAGTCCTCCTGCCTCAACCTTCCAGGGCTGGGATTACAGGCGTGAGCCACTGCGCCCAGCCTGAGGAAGATAATTTTAAGGATGAGTTTCCTTAATTAGTTTTGGGGTTCCCAGAATTGGCTCTCTAATTTGATGAGACTTAAAAATGCTAAGGACCCTACTTCTAATAAATAGTACAGAGAGCACTGATAGTCCATAGTGTGAACTGTTTATATAGAGATATGCAAAAAATCTACATTTGATACTTCTAATTTACCACCTGTAAGAGGCAAGGAACTTGGCAACCCTGTATTTGATACTGTCAAACATTTGTAGAAAACCAAGGTTTTCTAATGTTGCCAGACAAAGTGATGAAAGAAAAGGGTGAGCTCAGGGTTTTGATTTCCTGGCCCCAGCTCTGCCATAAATAGCCCAAGAACTTCTAAGTATGCCCTAAGTCAGAGTCTTGTCTTCTGTTTCCACAGGCCTGAAATTGCAAAAAATCAAACACATGCTCTCATCATGTGATTAGCTGAATTACAATCAAAGTTGAAATCTCAGCCTTGTAAGGTGTCTGCTGTTAAAATGAGAGCATTGGTTGGGAAAGAATGGAATTCTATACATTTGGATAGGGATGTGTGGGAAGACCCTGATGAGGTTGGGGACATTGAGCTCCTAAATTCTGATGAGTCTTGTTTGCCAGCAGAAATGGCCTCCCTCCCCCAGTAACAGCATCCCCCTTACACTGGCCTTTCCACCTTTGCCTGAGGGAATTGACTTTGCATTGCTTGAGGAAACCGTAATGGCCTTCCTGGAGGCAACTGCTAAGCAAGAGGATGCTGAGTCTTCTCAGGACCCACGCCCACCACCCCTCTTTGCTTCTAGACCTATAGCTAGACTTGAGTCCCAGCAGCCCCTAAAGATGAGGTACAAAGTTTTACCCATGAGGAGATGTGCTATGTGCTAAAAAAGCTACTTGAGTTTTCTAATTTATACAAGCAGAAATCTGGAAAACAGGTATGGGAATAGATATTTAGGGTGTGAGATAATGATGGAAGGAACATAAACTTGAGTCAGGCTGAATTTATTGTTTGTTTTTTTTTTGAGATGGAGTCTTGCTTTGTCGCCCAGGCTGGAGTGCAGTGGCGCAATCTCGGCTCACTGCAAGCTCCGCCTCCTGGGTTCCCGCCATTCTCCTGCCTCAGCCTCCCGAGTAGTTGGTACTACAGGCGCCTGCCACTATGCCTGGCTAATTTTTTATATTTTTATTAGAGACGGGGTTTCACCTGTGTTAGCCAGGATGCTGTTGATCTCCTGACCTTGTGATCCACCTGCCTCGGCCTCCCAAAGTGTTGGGATTACAGGCATGAGCCACCGCACCTGGGTGAATTTATTGTTATTGGCCTACCAAACACATTCTGCATTTAATGTTGCAGCTCAGGGAGTTAGAAAAGGCAACAGTTGGCCAGGCATGGTGGCTCACGCCTATAATTCCAGCACTTTGGGAGACCAAAGTGGGCAGATCACGAGGTCAGGAGTTCAAGACCAGCCTGGCCAAAATGTGGTGAAACCCTGTCTGTACTAAAAATACTGGAAAAAAAAAAATTAGCTGAATGTGGTGGCATGCGCCTGTAGTCCCAGCTACTTGGGAGGCTGAGGCAGAGGAATCACTTGAACGCAGGAGGTGGCGGTTGCAGTGAGCCAAGATCACACCACTGCACTCTGGCCTGGGTAACAGAGCGAGACTCTGTCTCAAAAAAAAGAAAAGGCAACAGTTTATTTGGTTAGTTGGCTGAAACATGGATGAAAAGATGGCCTACTGTGAGCCAGCTGGAGGTGTCTGATCTACCTTGGTTAACACAGAGGAAGAGATTCAAAGGCTTAGGGAGGAGACTGGGTTGCTAGAGTGGATTTGTCATTTAAAATCTACTTATTCACACTGGGTGGGTCCAGACCACATGCTTTTCAGCAGTACTCTGAGAAACAGATTTGTGAGGAGAACCCCATCATCCCTAAATGCCATGATTGCCCTTCTCTGTAGGCCGGACCTTAAAATGGGAACTGCAGTTGGTCAACGGAAAAATTTAAATGCAGTGGGAATAAGTGGATCCCAGGGTAGCAGAGGCCAAGTGAAGGGACTCAGTTGACAAGGCAAGGTGGACATGGTTATCATAATGGACAGCAGAAGCAAAGCAACAGTCAGAATACTCTGACTCATGTAGACTTATGGCATTGACTAATTCGCTGTGTGGGCAGCTCACTGTC